AGTGAATCTGTCATATGTTAAATAGTCAAATATAGATGTAAAATTGACGAAATCAGTATGTTGGAACATTTTCATTCTATTTCTCTGTCTAGAATTGCAATTCTTGCACATTTGTTCAAACACAAGCAGGGTGTTCTTTTCAATAAAGATGGACAGGATTTAACCTGCAACTTAAATTGCATTCTGCAGGTTCTTGCATTCTGATTTATATGGAAAATAAGTTGTACTTGTTGTAGCAGGCTCAAATGCCTGCTATATTTGTTGTCTGAATATCAGACCAGATATCTCTCTTACAGTATAAAAGTTCCTTAATGATAAGGCCTGAAGGAATAGGGTAATTATTCTTAGTATTGTATTGAACAAATGTCATATATGTACTATTGGGCAGTTTCCAAAGGGTACTTAAGCATCTTCTGCTTCTCTTAGGTGTTGCTGATTCTGTTGCTCCCACCAATCCTGTTGAGGAACCAGTGCCCACCACCTGTAAAACAGAGATTTACTGCTTTTCAGAAAAGTCTGAAGCAAGCTTCAGCTATGCACATATAACACGAGTCCTTTACCAGCTACACTGGCTACCAATTGAAGTCTGGACCCAATTTAAGCTGTTGGTGATGACCTATAAAGTCCTGAACAGTTTAGGACCTGGATATTTGAAGGAGCACCTCCTTCCATATATACCTGTCCAGACCCTAAGATCTGGGTCAGAGGTTCTTCAGGAGTCCTCCTTGAAGGAGATTAGGAGGGTGACTACCTGGATAATGGCCTTCTCTGCGGTGATGCCCCAGTTATGGAATACGCTCCCCAGAGAGATTCACCTGGCACCAACACTCTATTCATTTCGGCACCATGCCAAAAACCTTTTATTTTCCCAATATTTTAACGTTCAGATTGTCATTTTAATTGGGGTTTTATTGTACAGAATGGTTGCTGTGCTTTACTTTGTTTATTGTAAGACCATCCCGAGACTATTTGGTAGTGGGTGGTATACAAAAGTTTCAAATAAATAAATAAATAAATAAATGACTCTCATTTCTCTGAAGAGGAGAGGTTGGCAGAGCTTTTTTTATGTGAGTTCTGCCAATCTGCCCCATTCCAGAAGTCCCTCCTCTACTTTCTAATTACCCCACAAGCATCAAGTCTTTCTTCTGTAACCAGTAGGTCCCGTCTGCAGATGGGAACTTTGGAGATGCAAGTGCTCCATCGGGTTCTGCCCACTGTGTTCCGCACATGCAGGTAGATATGTGTCACCTGTTTAAGCAGATCATACATGTAAATGCACTTTATTGCAGACGTCTAGCATCATAAACCCATTGCCATCTCCAAATTCCATGCAGCACATAAAACAAAGGGGGTTTTCTACTTCTTTTTATGAAGAGTTACAAGTCGGTAATGTTTCTAACATAATATTTTTAATGGTTGTTGTACTGTGCATAGATGGTGATTAAAATTAATTCTATGTACCTTTTTGAAATGAAATATAATTATATAAATTCTAGGATTCACAAAACAAAACAAAAACCCTCCAGTAAACTGCCAGCAAAATAGAGTGTACTAGATTAGCCTATAGGAGCATCATCATAAAATATTTTGAATTCCAAACCCAGAGCTCCTCCGGAATGAATTTGATGGTTGCAGACAGAATTAGCCTGATGGCATTGCTTGCAAGTCCGGCTGAAGCAAATTTGGAATTATCCTGCATTCCAATAATGTATATTCATTCCCCACAGGAAGCAATGATGGTTCTTGGGATAGAGAAAAACTCCAGTCTCTCCCCACCCAAGGATTGCAGGCCTCTGTTAATCACCCCGGCTTGCCTGGACAGCATAACCTTCCAGTTAACCATCCTCTTAACCCTCTCCAACAGAACCACCTTCTGCCAAATGGTATGGGTTGACATCTTTCCACCTTCCTATTCCAATTTTTCCAAACTCCAAGCTTTTATTTATTTATTTTATTTATTTAACTTATATACCGCCCGACAGCTAAAGCTCTCTTTTTTATGATTTGTTAAAGAGTCTGCATTAAGGAACACATATCAGAAAAAAATGTGACTCATTAAGTTTCGTATAACAATAAAAAGGCAATCAACAGTATAATGTTTCATAAGAGGATCTGACTTTTTCACATAATTACTGAACACCAGTGGCCAGTTTTTTATCGTTCTGACACATTGGAGCGGTGGTTTGACCAAATGATGTAGCAGACCTGAAGAAAAAATGTGTTTCACTTATATTATAATAATCACCAAGCGCTTGTTTGCACATTATGGTCAGTTGAGGCCTCCATTTAGTGAAAATAAAAGGGAATGCTACTATTTACATGAGATGGTCATTGCACTACTGACCTCAATATATCTGTAAGCTTATATCTGAGAGCTCATTTGCACATGCAGATAAATCACTTGGTACAGAATTCCTGAGACTTTAACATTTCAGATTGGAGGCCAAGGATCACAGAACTCAGAGTTCTGCATGTTAACACCCCTTGTATGCAGAAATCCTCTAACAGGCCCATTTTTTTTTCTAGGCAGGGAGATTTTATTTATATACTCAGTTATGTATTATCTTTTTTCCTGTTTTCCTTACAAGAATAAATAATGCATCATCATAAATGCAAAACTGCTTCTGTCATAAATTATGAGTCAAAATCTTTTTAATCTGTTCCTCTTAGTATGTTTTATCTTTCTTCTGCCCACGTTTGTTGTAGTTCCAGTGCCTTCACATTTTTAATTAATTAAATAAATTAAATTAATAATGTTTATATGCCATCCAATAACAGGATTCTTTGATAGCTAACAATAACAGTATCAAATACAAAAAAACAAAAAGCAAAACCTTAACAACAATCCAAGACTGTGATGGCACATGCAAAGCCCGGCAGCAGAGAACAAAATAAATCTGGCAATATTCTCAAACAGCTTATAACATTTTAAATCAGGACTTAAAAGTTTAAATATTTTAAACACTCAGAAAATAAATGACTCTTCACCTGATACTATAAAGATTCCAGATGAGTCCAGATGTGCCGAGTATTCCACAGCTGTATGTTCCACTGAAAAGGAGCTCTCTTTAATAGTCACCTGATAAGCATCTCTTAAGGAAGTATCTTGCAAAGGGCCTTTGAAGATGATTTCAAGGTAGCCTGGTCCCAAGCTTTAAAGGACTTTAAAAACCCTGTTTAGTTTAATTGGGTCTGGAAATGAATTTGAAGCCAGTGTGGCTGTCCCATTGCATTAAATTCAAATTGTCCAATCCTAGTGAACTATCTTTCAGCATGATTTTAATGGGACTGATGTTTCCAGATCATCTTCAAAGGCAGCCCTTTGTAGAAAGCATTGCAGTAATCGGCCTGGATTACTGAAGCACAGCTCTCTGCATCCAAGTAGGGTTCCTGAGCTGTTCCCTTATGCACAACTGAACCTACTTACTGGGTCCTGGGAGTTAAAATGGCATTTTTGCTAGAGGGTCTGGTGTAAAGAGGACGTTTGTTCGGGAAACAGCAGCTAAGCAGAGCTAGGACGATGTCCTCCTTTTCCCTACTAATGGAACCCAGGAAATTAAGATGGCAGTGTTGTGGGCTTGAAGGAGAGTCAACTGAACCAGGAATGCTTTTGACATTCCGGCAGTCGAACTGATGTAATGTGATGGACCATTCAAATATATTATCTCCCATCTGAAATAGTTGAATCCCTGGATCTCCATACTGCATGATTTATCTGAATCTGTAGGTTGGTACTAAGCAAGTGGGGTGTAATGATTCATGTGAGATACAGATATAAAAGAAATTGTGGTTCTCCAAGTGGCTTAGAACTTGGAGGTTAGGCTTAGAACTCCCTTCAGCCCTAGCCAGAATAGCTGATGGTGGAGTGTGATGGAATTATAGGCCAACACATCTTGAGAGCCGTAAGTTGCTCATCCCAGTCTAAAAGATGGAAGAGTTCACTGCATGAAATAGGATTGGTGCAGACAGCAGTGACTTCTCAGAAGGAAATCTAACGTACCTCTTGGCACGTGTTCAGAGGAAGAGAGCGCATACTACAAAGGGCAGATGTATGCAGAAGCCTTCATTGAACTCGTAGAAAAAGTATTTCATGATCTGCTATCAGGCATGCATAATAGGTTCCTCCTCGTTGATATAGTGGTCTATTAAAATCAACCCTGTGCAGTTTTCCCTGGCAACTTTGAACTCGTGGTAACTCCAGTGTTGTGGGGATAAATTTTGAAGTGTGGGAGCATATTTTTAATAGTCTGTGCTGTGGTGTAGTGGTGCCCAGGCCTTCCAGAATGCAGTCCTGGAACTTTTTGATTGACAGAACTCTGACGTTATCTACCAGCCCTGTCTAGCTTACCTATTCCTTCTGCACTTAGCTCATTCTCACAGTAGCGGAGGGTAAATCAACTTTCTCAACAACAGTAGATTGCTTCCTGTTGTAATGCAAGTGTTTTGGGAGCAGCTCAGTCCTGAATGGGCAGTGAAGTCCTATTGAGATCAAAGGGCTAGAGTTGTTTGTGGATGTAGATCAAGACAGATGTTTGCGTTTTTGGATTCACTTTCAGGGGATGGCTATGGAAATGGTGGTGATGAGCACTTACTATGGCAAAGTGTAACACTGCACCACAGGGCAAAATGCCCTTCAGCCAGTGTTTCTCAGCCAGAATGTAGGGATCGATGTTAACCCTGCAAAAGACTGATCAAGGTGGGCACAGTGAATCCTGCGACCAAGGTATTTGGAGTTGGACTTCTGTCAAATACCTCATATATCCCTGTCCAAGGCTGGCTGCACTTCCTTTACCAAGCACTGATATTTTTCTCCCATATATATTATGTTGTAGTAGAAATGTAAAGCATGTGTCCACATTAGAGTAACATTTATGAGCTAAGGAAGGACTGAGTAACACTTTCATCTTTCTCTGGTGAGATAACGCTTTTGTTGAATGTCAACCATGTTTGGAACGTTGGGTGTTTAACAATTATACGTGTGTCTTTTGCTTTCCCCTTAGGCTTGGAGCTTCCTTTTATGATGATGCCTCACCCTCTCATCCCTGTCAGCCTCCCACCAGCCTCGGTCACGATGGCCATGAGTCAAATGAACCACCTCAGTACGATTGCAAACATGGCAGCCGCGGCACAGGTGCAGAGCCCTCCCTCCAGAGTCGAGACGTCTGTCATTAAGGTAACTGTTGTGTTTAAGGAAGAACTCCAGGATCAAGAAAGGGAATGCTACCTTTTTCAAGATATATGCCCTCTAGAATGCGCTTCTCTGAACTGAAAATTGGTAAAGGTGTTTAATAACATATGCAGAGCACAATCCAGCCAAAGTGAGGTGCTTGCTGTTGTCCTCTCCCATGTTTTCAGAGGGGATCTTTATTTCTGAGAATGCACCAACTCCTGGAGGTCCCAGTGCTCACAAGCCGGTCCCAGGCTTGAACAAGAAGCATATTTTTATGGAGAGCTCTTTGGAAAGCTTCTTTACTGGACATTTTAATTGTTATTCTATACCTTGATCTCAGGGGTGTGCAACTTTGGGAAGCCTGGAGGCCATTTTTCCTCCCTCCCTGGGTTACATTTTTCTGTAACTGCCAGAATAATTTTAATATAATTTTAAGTACCATCTGTAATGGCTATGGAGTGCCAAAAGAGCCAAGATTAGCTTGCAACCAAATAGACACCCTGGAGAGAGAAAAAGCTCTGAAAGAGGAAAGAAGGGGCTGACAGACTCCACCTGTATGTTCAAGACTGGGCATCAGGAATGTCTGCCTCAGATGCATAGAGCTGCTGAATTCTTCAGCAGCCAGATCCTTTCTAAGGTACTTGAAGTGAAACATGCTTGCAAGAGGAAGCATAAGGGAAAGTTTCAGAAAAGCAGCGGGAGGTCACAGGTGAGCCCCCCCCCCCCCCGGGGAGGACTGGGTTCCGGCAGCCATGAATATTTGGTGGGCTACTAAAGCTCACTTCAGAATCAAACAAAATAGAAGCTGCTCCCTGCCTTTAATATTGCATATAATTTCACCCTCAGGCAGTCCTTAAATCGAGTTTTGTAGAATCGTTTATGGCGGTATTAGCTGCCACATACTGTTTGCCAGGACTATGTAGCTTTGAGGGGAGTTATTCAGTGTATGAAGATAATAAAGAATCTGTCATAAACCCCCTTTTGTGTGTCACACACCTCTTACTAGGGGCAGGAGAAAATAAAAGCTTAAAGGAATCAAAAATAAATAAAAAAGAATTATAACGGATGATTATGATTTCTCCTTGCATGGGATCTGAGGAAGGCTTTGGCAATGGAACTGGTTGGCACTGGTGTAGCAGAGTAGCTAAGGGAAGGTGGGATTACTGAAAAAGCATCTAGTTCAGATGCTACCGTTGCCATGAACTCATTCAGAGACGGTAGGAAAGCTGTGCTCTCCGGCACCATCTGCAACATGGGGTCCAATACTATAGGCATTGTTGTACGGATTGCAACCTGATGAGTTAAGTGTTATATAATTGTTAAATTACCGCCACAGTACGGTTGATGGCATTAGAAAGGAAGCCCCCCCCCCTTTTTTTTATTGTGATTTATATCCTGCCTTTTTCCTACAAAGGGCTCCAGGCAGCTTACATCATTCTCCTCCTCCATCTTTTCCCCACAACAACAACCCTGTGAGGTAGGTTGGGCTGAGAGTCTGTGACTGGCCCAAAGTCACCCAGTTGGCTCCATGGCTGAGCGGGGACTAGAACTCAGATCGCCTGAGTCCCAGTCCCAGCTCTTAACCATTACGCCACACTGGCTCTTTTCTTGTCCTTTAAATGTACAGCTTTAGAAAGAAGTTATTTAGCAAGTATCTCTAAAATCTGTCGAAGCAATGAGAAATAATTAACAGAACTTTCCTGGGAAAGTTTTCTTTAGATGAGATCTGAAATGTCATAATGTGTGAGCCATCCCGAGGCTATATAGCAAGGGGACGGCATACAGAAACTTTAAACAAACTAACTAACAAACAAACACACCTTATGCCCTGTTGTGGGAAAACACACTTCCACAGGGCTTTCTACTATCCGTTGATGGAACTTGGAGAGTTGTTTTGGGGGAAACAAGTTTATAGTGATTTTCTTAATGTGTCTTTGCCTTAACTGTAAACCACTTTGAAAGGACTTTTATTCTGGAAAAAAATGAAATATAAATAAATGTGGTAAATAAATGCAATAAATCAGTGCATAATTCAGAGTGTGCTTATCTATCCTATGGAACATACTGGGATTTAAATTATTTAATTAATTAGATTTATAGACTCCCATTCCCAAAGGCTGGTTACAATATGATAATTACAGATACCCAATTAAATGGAAGAAATCACAATTTGCTCTGTTCACCCTATCGCTGGTCTTCAAAGTCATTTTGAATTTAAAGGTCTTTCACTGCTCTCTGAACTTGGGTTTGGGGTGCCTGCAGGGAAGGGAATTCTGCACTGAAGGACAGCCAGCAAGGATGCCCTTGGCTTTGGGTGGATTATATACACATAACTTTCACAACTGATTCTCTTCGGTTGCAGAAGACAGAATTCATTTAGGCCAGTGCATTGAAGTACTGTGGAAATGTGGAATGTGGGAATATCAGGAGAAGGGAAAGGGATGCTTACTGCTCCATGCAAACTGAAATAATTCTACTGCTCTCATTCTGAACCTAAAACAGTTAAAACCAGCATGCCAGCATCCCTTCCTGGAGGTGCTTGACTTGCCACAGTGGCATGCGCCTTCGTTGAGGCTCGTCTGGATTAGCGTCCTGAGCTCTATGTGGACTGCCTCTGAGGAGTGTTTGGAAACTCCAGCTGGTGCAGAGAGCTGCTCTTGACTGGGGCTGCCTACAGGGAGCACACAGCTTCCCCACTGGAAGAGCTTTGCTGACTTCCAGTCTGTTTCCAGGCACAAGTCAAAATGCCAGTGATGAACCCAATATGGTCTGACAGCCGTATTGTCCCTTGGGAGACTGCTCAGGCTCTAAGAATTTCTGGAGAGGTCCTTCTTTTGGTCCACCTCCCTTACAGGGATGCTTGGTGGGAATGTGTGAGAGGGTCTTCTCCATGGCTGCCCCAAGGCTCTGGAATTCCCTTCCCAGGGGGCTCGTTTGGCATCCTCCCTGTTAGGTTCCTGATGGCAGGTGAACCCTTTATTGTTCCAACAGGCACTTGAGATTGATTTGGGCCTGTGAGTTGGACTCATTCCACTCTTTTACATTGTTTTTAGAGTTTTTAATTTAGACATTTTGCATGATTTTAAACTTAACCGATCTAATTATGTTTTCAACTTTTGTATGTTTCTATGTATAAGTTTTAATTGTACTTGTTTTTGATGTTGCGAGCCATCTTCAGACCCAGTTACTGGGGATAGGTGGGACATAAATAAATCTCAGAACGTTGAAATGGTGCAAGTGAAAATTTAAATTTCTGTCATGCTATGTGTGAGATCCTTGAAATGACGCACTCTCTGATTTTTCTCAGTAGGAAAGCTGATCTAGAGAGGCTTGCTGGCTTGACTCTCCTGCTGGCATGTCCCTGCAGTTCCTGTAGTTGTTCTGTCTTGTGTTGTTATCTTAAACTTGGAAACTTGCGCTCCGGTTCTGCTGTCCATCAGCCCTTCATTTTTCAAAGGCAGGGAGTTAAAATTACACTGAAAGCAAACATTTTCATTTTCAAATCTTGTAAAAGAATAAAGCCAGCACAATAATGAAATCAGACCATTAAGAATCAAGTAGGGAGGGCGTGGAGTGCCCACGTGAAAGGGAGACGAGAGCTGGATACTGTATCCCACCTGAAGAGCTTGTGCCCTTTCTGAAATGTGCTGAACATTAGATACCCTTTTTGTAATTGAATGTTGAGATCTGTGAGTTGGAGAAATAAGATCTCAGGAACGAGCAGGGACAACAGACTGTGACAACAGTAAATCACAGTGAGCGTGACAGCTGTGACCTGAGAATGCTTCAGGCTGGCAATGTCTTTCATCACCTGCCCATGGCTTCAGAAAGCCAAGCTTGTTAGCAGCCTCGACTTTGCCCAAATAAATGCAAGCGATACGAAGCCACACTGAGATAAATGCAACGACTCCGAGCCGATGGTAATATGTTTGTGAGCGGGCAGCCACAAAACCATATCAGAATCTGCATGTTTCCATGAAACACACATCGAAATAGCAGTTTGTGATGGACCATCTAGCCTGCATAACACCTGGCATAATGCTGCTTTGGTTACTGGGATGCCTTGCCCATTCCCAGTGGGAGGATGGGACAGGGAGTGCTATTTCCATTCCACATGGAATGAAGGTATATTAGGGGTTTTGGCCAAAACAGTGGCTTTGAAGCGTGAGATGTGCGTGTGCATATCTGAATCCTCTCTGTTACATGCATGATTCAGAAATCTCCCCCAACCACCCTTGTGTAATAATTTTTTGTTTCTTAAAGGCTCATTGACGCATTATGTCTAGTATACATACACAGAAAAATGGGATTTATACAGGTTTTGCTAATGTCTGTGCTGTATAGGTGCACAGGCAGCAAAAATTCCTCTTCCTTCCAAATGGGTGCAATGCCTGTTCAGGCAGACTGTATATTAGCGTGTGGGAAAGATAATCCAGCTTTCAGCTTTAGCCCAGCTACCTTCTCTTCTCCCAGGACTACTGGAGATGGCCTTCTTAGTCTGTGGCAGCAGAACAATTAGGAGCCTTTTAAGAACTTTAAAGGCAAACACATATATTATGGTGCAAGCTTTCATGAACCGTCCTCTTCATGAGCCCTGAGTTCCAGGCACTCATTTGCACGTGGATGGAATATGCAGTGTATTTCTGATGTGATTGTGTGCAAGGCTACTTTGGGAATCTTTCTGGGTGGTATTTTACTAAGCACACATGGACTGCTGCGTATGAGTAAATATCCATGTAAAAAGAAGGTTTGTGCAACTAATCAACTACCACCTGGAGATCACTTTTTTGCAGTGTTTAAAAATGCTCACAACTGCACATTCAGATTGCTTAAACACCACACCAAATATTCTATCTATCCATCTGACAATATATGCAGTTAGATGAAGATAGCTTTTTTGCAGCATTTTAACAGTTCATAAATGTTAAAAAAAAGATTAACTGGGGAGATCTCTACCTGAGAGTACATGGAACTCACACTTATGTTGAGGTGAGAACTAAAGAGCTGCAGCAAAAAAGCTTATGAGTTGCAGAAAAATATTTCCTATGCCTCAGAGAACCTTTACAAAACCAAGATGAGAAAACGCCGAACTCCAAAATTTGGGAGAAATTCAGACAGCAAGCATTTCAGAAACTTTCCTTTGAGAGAGAAAAAATAAAGAGGAGAACTATGAAACTTGATTCCAAACAAGTTTTTTTTCCCCTTAATGAATAAATCAAGTTCCATGGCTGTCACTCTAAATTCAGTGACTTTATATTCTGTGTTGCTTTTTCTCAAGGATTTTTCAGAACCACTCAAATGTCCTGTTACCCACCTTTTTCCGACCTGGGTAGTGGAAGAGGATGTGTACTGCAGAATGTAACCGGGGCTTTACACCTCCTCTTCAAGCAGCTTGTAAACAATAGTTTCTTGTGCTACTCCAACTCCTGTCACCAGCCCTAGGGTCAGTCTGTACGGTGCATTCCTGGACCATGTGTAGTAACGCAATTTTAAATACATAAAATATGAAAGCTTTTCTTGAATCCTGTTCAGCTTTCAGAGAAATCATGTGGGGATGGAAGTATGGAAGGGCACCAGACCCACCCCCAGCTTTCCTCTTTGTACCGAACAAGGAAAGGTCTTTCCTTGCACACTGAAGGGGTGCTCCTGATCATGGGAAGGAGTTTTAGACCACTCCAGTCAACAGTCATTCATTCATTGCATGTAAATATTGCCTTTTTAGAGAATCCCTAAGTGGTTTCCACATAAACATATGAGGAATCTCATTTTAGGCATTCCTACGTAATGTGGTAAGGTCAGGAGGTGATGGGGACACATTGGAGCAGAAAATCTTGAAGTAGGAGTTAAATTCTTCTTCACCAACTGCCTTCGCAGGTAGCAGAGTTGTCTTACGCCTGGCGAGAACACTTCTGCCAGAGGCAAAAGCAGGCTAGGATCTTTATTTTCATGATATTGAGTCTTATTCTCCCTAGTTAGGGAAGATAAGCCACTCCAGAATCAACTAAGAAAGAAAGAGCTTCCGAGAAGGAACTACTTCTGGTGAGAATATTTATGCTTCCAGTTTCCAGTTATGAGAGATCACATGCACAGTCATCCTTAGGGGAACTGTAAGATGTGATCATGACTTCCTATTCCTACATTGATGCTAAGCTGTTTCTGTCTCAGGTATGGGGAGCTGAGGAAATCCAATTGTACAGTACTAAACTTTTCAAAGGAGGTTTCTAAGCCTCCAGTCCTTTGTGGACCGACATGGTAGTAAGCTTCTCTGAATAATGTGGAATTACTATGGCATAGGGCAGTGTTGGAAACACACACAAAAAGTTTGTTTGTGCAAAGAATTAAGGATGCAGAAAAAAATTAGGGGGACCAGCCTCACCCAGTTTATGCCAGCGGGGCCTCTCTGTGTGTAAAAAGGCCTGACTGAGTTTTGGGTCAGAGGAAATGAATAGAGCATTCAGTTGTTTCCTACCTATTCGTATTCTACCCAGTTCCCATTCTACCAGAGTTGATCTGAAATGACAAATCTCCAGACTAATATAAACCACTCGTATGCCTCTGTTCAAATTAGTTTTTTTTATTTGGGTGAATATTGATATCTTGACATCTTCCTGGATTTGGGCTACTCACATCAATACCAACTACAGAAATAAAATCAGGTAAATACAAGAAACAGCTAATTAATAATAGCATGATCAACATCCAAAGATGACACTGGAAAGTGTAACTATTGTCTTAATGGTGTAGACACAAAAGTTGAGATTATCATTAATGAAATCTTCCATAAAATTTTCCCACTTGCCATGTCTAGGAAAAGAGTTGGCTGGAAATAAAATTCATATAGGACCTTTGAAGACAGTATATGCCTTTAGAGCTGGTCTGGTCCGGAAAAATTCAGAATACACCCTGGGCTTGTGTGTTCCCCCCATACCTCTTCCAAACCTTCTCTTTCCTCTTGACCTTTCCTTTTATTCATTACACAGAGAAATTACCAAATCACCCAAGAAGTGTGCAATTATGAGACACAGGATATTTGACACAGTGAGGAAGCGAACGTTGCAAAATAGAAACTTCCACCCAGGCCTGGTTCTCACTGCAAAGGGACATTTGTTATCCGAACTGGATCTCAGAGGTGGAAAATGGATACCTGTATGTTGGGCACCTTTAACATGGAGCTCAGGACTTTATGGCTTTTTCTTATCATCATGAGCTGCGGCCAGGTTTCCAGATGGGAAGATACTTAAAATAATTAGTTGTTCAGCATGTTGCAGTTTTCTTCATACCCTTTAATGCGGGCTGAGTTTAGAAGCTCTGTGTGTGGAGTTTTATGTCCCTGGTTTTTATTATCAGTAGGTTAGTTAGTTAATTAATTAATTAATTGTGCTAATTGTTAGCACAAAAAGTGCTCATGTTATCTTATCTGAGATAGGATGCATGCTTTCATTATTTAAAAAAAAAATGGGGTGGAAGTAATTTCAAGGGATTTTAGATTGATTTCTTCTCATGCAACAAACAATGCTTGCTATATCACCCAAACCTGGTTAAGTGATTAGCCAGGTTGTAGCCCCAAAATTAATACTATGGATTAGATCCTGGTTTAGACAGACCATGAGTAGACCCACTGAGAAAAATGGGGATGAAGTTAGTCCTGACTAACTCAAAGCTTTTTAATTAGTATTATTTCAGGAAGTGCATGCAAAATATGTATAAGTTTCAATCCCTCCCATTATCTTAAAGATCCCTGCAGCACTGAGAGATGATGCAGCGGTAGCTGTTGCCTTGATTTCTCCTGAGTCTAGTCATTCGTCTGTCTGCAGGCCCAGGAGCATAGACTGTATAAAAGTGGCACCTGTGGACTCTCTTACGGGACCAGAGAAAAATTAGATGGGAGAAGACATACTGTAGCTCTTGGGGCTGCCCCGTCAGGCAAGGTCTGTTTCCAACACAGGTTGCACAGAGCTCCTGAAATTTGCCAGAGGCCTCCAAAGAGTATTCTGTAGATCATATCATCAGGAGAATCTCTTAGCGGTATGGGATTATTAGCTGTCAGAATTTAGCCAGACTGCCTCTGTTTGCCCACCAATTCAGTCTGGTCTCCGTATATACTTTTAATGTAAGTAGCAAAAGACTGGAAGAAAACCAAATGACCAGAAACAGAACTCAATGAATCCCATCAATCCTTTCTGTAATGTAGGTCTCTAGGTCCATGCATCTTGTTCTGTTTTATGAAAGCTGTTTAAAGGTTAAGTGTATCTGTCTAACTAAATACATTTATGGAAGTTGTTAATAATTTCCAATCAACTACCTTTAAAGTAAACAATGAATGTTTTACAAAATCTGTTTTCCCAGAAAGACATGGAGGAAACCATGACTTTTGCATATCGATATTTTACCATCAATAGTTTATTAGTATGCTCTTTTTAGAGGAAGAGAGTATTTCAATTTATTACTAGCATTTCCATTTATTTCTGCAGCTAGTTTTGATAAAGACAGAAAATTGCAAGAGATTGCATATTATTGATTAGAGGAATTATGAAGCAAGACTATGAGGCAGAGACTTCAGGAATTAAATTAATTACGCTCTTACCTCTGCCTAGTTCAGTTGAATTTCTATTAAGGTTAAAGGGTATTTCACAAATGAACTGATACACTGAGTTTACAAAACATGCTCTCGTAGGCTTCCTCCTTGGTTCATCTTGTTATATGACAATAATAAAACTCATTATCTCCTTTGTTTCAGTCATAATTGCATTGTGTTGCCCTATGCATTTCTTCTGCTTTCTCTATATTATAATTTGTTCTGTGAAGGCATACATAAATATGATAAACATATTAAACTCTTAAAATAAATTAATTTACTATGCAACTCTGTTCAAATCTTATATGCTCACTGGATTTCATTTTAATGAAGCCCTTAAGAAGCTATCAGGCTAAACAGTAAAATTATGTATTAAATGAAATGATTACTTACATTTTCTGTGAATTTGTATGGAAATAGCAGTTAAGTGTATAGAAATAAATTGCCTGTGTTTTTCAGTTGTCTGCAATGTAACCCTGTATTTAGGAACAGAAAGCCTGGATAGAGACATACTGAAACTACGTGTAAAGCATGTTTTTAAACATCTGAATCGGCTAAATTGATGGTTTCCTCTTCAAAATTTCCCACTTTAAAATATGCAGTCATTGTGAAATCTGTTCAAAGACTTACACACGTTAGCCCTGTTCAGGCACATACCGCTTCTCATTGGATGCCAAGTTAGTAAAGATCTCACAGAACTGGACCCATTTATTCTTCTCATGCACATCCTTCACAGGATGTGCTTCCATGCTATTATGGGACCATTAGTTTAAAATCAATATTGAGATCTATCAAGAATACTGAGTGTGTTTTATCATTCTCTATAGAAACTCGGCCAGTTAATTTTGCCATGCCATGCACCTGAGTAATCTTTAATTTGACAGTGCATTGGAACTTGAAAATCAGCTAATCCAGACTCATCCCACCTTGGACATGTTACATGTCTAGTGTTTGTCCAGCTATTTCGGGATTAAGGATCAAAAGAACTTCAAATGGCTTCCCAATTCAGGATATGAACTGTATACAGAGCAGGAGTTCAGCTTGGTGTTACGGGCTCATGTGTATAACCAAGAACGTTCTGAAAGTAACATTGATTTGTAATGGCGTTCTTTTGTTTGTCTGTGTATTGATTTGCTTGTTTTCCTTGATGGTGTGCAGGAACGCGTTCCGGACAGCCCTTCCCCAGCCCCATCCCTTGAAGAGGGCCGACGGCCTGGCAGCCATCCATCATCTCACCGTAGCAGCAGTGTATCCAGCTCCCCTGCCCGGACTGAAAGCTCTTCGGACCGAATTCGTGAGTCTCCATCTTTTTTCTCCTACCACTTTGCTTCCATTATCTGGTGGAAGCAGGGCTTCACCACTTTTGCCAGTAAAGACTATTTGTGAACATTCCACTCGTCCATTTTACAGTATCAAACATCCTGCTGTTGACATAACTAACAGAACCTAATGGCATGATGCACTCAATACAGAGATAGAAAACACATATCAGAAAACAATTTATTACTTCTGCAATAATGAACTTTCACAGACCAAGACTGCATGAATTCTGTCCCTGTATGTGATATCACACACCAGCCAAGTGGATGAAAGCACCTTTCTTGTTATTTTTCCAGGCAGGCAAAGCACAATAAAACAAAACCGTAAGAGGCACATTTTAAGCACTTGGTGGGCTTCTGTATTCACGTTGTGTAACAAGCTGCACAAGACTGAATCAAAATATTTGTCAAGAAAACCAAAGGATAGCACAAACATATATCTCGATCTGTTTGTTTGTACCCTGTAGCTAGTATACATAAAACTTGACCTAACTTTACTTGAAGAAAATTGTGTTTTACCTAATGGTATTGTGCTAACTTGTACATCTAAATCCAACTTAATTTCAGAAGTTCTCTCTTTAAAATAATAATCTCTTTATCATTCTTTTTAAGAGAATAGAAGACAATGATTATTTGCATTCATATATTTCCCATAGTTCTATCTGGAAAGAAACACCCTAGAATCCTTAGTTTTCAGTATTTTCAGAACATGATACATTTTATATATGATACCTCTCAAATTTAAATTAAACAGTTTTCTTATTTATACATTATCTTATTGGGTCTAATATTAAGTGGAAAATTCCTTGAGTTTGTGTTCCAGTGTTCAGTTAGTGTGGATTGATTGATTGATTCCACTAATATCCTGCTTTTTCCTCTGAGGAGCTCATGATTCTCTTTTTCTTCCTTTATATGAAAATACAAAAGAGATAGAAAAAGATGGGGATGGAGGAAACAATGAAAGAGAAAGCAAAAGGAAGAATATGGCATAAAACATTTGTTTCATTCATTTTATTAATGTTTATTTGCCATTACTCAAAGACAGAAGAAAAAGAGGGGAAAGGATTCTACACTTATATTTCAAATAAATAAATAAACAATAGGCAAACCACATATCTAAATAGCCATCCGCATGAGATGAATAACAGAAGGAAATCGCTATAGATGCCTCCTTACCTGATCCTCTTCATTTTATCTTTAACATAGCCCTGCAGGTTAGGCTGAAAGTCAGTGACTGGCCCAGATTCACCCAGTCAGCTTCATAGCCAAGCGCAGACTTGAATCCAGTCTCCCCAGTTCTGGTAATATAATAAAACGATCTAAACACAGAATCCATTTTGAAGTCAAATCATCTCTTTCTTGAGGTGCTTGCCCTTCTTCATTTATTATGGCTTAAATTATTTCACTTGTTTGTTTCAGTAGGAATTGCTAGTCTTTCTCATGTTCTTATATCTAGGAAATAGTTACCCTTTTCCTTTCAGCTCTCACTCCATAAATCATATGAGGCTGTTCCTATTGTAGATACCAAAAATTATCCAGAAGGATGTTGATATGTCCTCGCTGCTTTTTCACAATTCCTGTTAATATGCCGTATGGACGACCAAGTTGTTTAACGGGAGGAGGTGGGAGTAGAGATCCTCTAGAGCAGCAAGGGGTCTCTACTGAGAGTAATGAAGAAAACGGCACTCTGCCTTGCAGAAAAATAACGGGTGTCTATATGACTTGCCTTCTGTCAAGGAATCTTAAATGGTTCGAAGAATTCATAGTTCTTGGAATCCATAATTTGTGAAGACCTGACTCCAACATTGTAAGGTTGGACAATGTTGGAGTCATTGTGACTATCACAGTGTGACTATCAAGTGGACCCACAGTGGGAGTGAAACATGCATGCCCTATGGGTAGATGTGGCTGGAAAGTTGGTGCTTTTCCACCATTAGACAGGTTCTATTTTGTGTGTCACAATTATTGTGGAATTCATTAACCGTGACGTATCAATTTTGGTTTCTTGTCTGTCTGCATGGTGCAAGCAGCAGTTCATCAGAATGGTCTGTCCATGAACCAGATGTTGATGGGTTTATCGCCAAATGTCCTACCTGGTCCAAAAGAAGGTGACTTGGCTGGCCACGATAGTGGGCATGATTCAAAGAGAATGCACATGGAGAAAGGTAGACAATTGTTTCAAATTATTGTTTGGTTGTGTAAAAGAAAGAAATGTTATAGGCTAGACATCACGTGATGTGGTTTTTCATTCTAATTCCTCCACTGGTGATGCACAAGTGAAAGTGGGTAAATGGGAAGGGAAGAGTACTAGCTTCATGTTTATTTGGGAAGATAACATAATTTCTTTTGTGTGTGGGAGGACATGCTCATGTAGTGCATTAATTACTTTAATAATAAAAATTAAATTGTAGAAATTATTTAATAATGACACTAGAAAGGGGAAGAAAGTGATTAACATCTCACAGTGAAATACAAATATGAAAATGTAGTCCTTATCTGTTTCACCTTTTAGATGCCCTTTCTTCGGGAATATTTCATTGAGGAATTATTTATGTAATTGGTATGTGTCTGTAGTTGATCAAAGAAACAGTCACTTAAAGTCAACTACTATGAGATAACTGTTGATGGCCATGTTTTGGGAAGGAAGAGAGGCTAAATTACTTAGCTCCTGCAACTGTTAATAGTATAAAATGAGACTGGCGGATATCATGCAATTTATTTTAAATTTAATCAGCCATCTGACTGAAAATGTATGAGCTAGATTAATGTCTATTAGTTTTTCTATCGATTATTATGCCATCTTCTTATTTAGTTTATATAGACTTCTGAGGTTACTCACTTCTCTATAGGAAACATTAAGCAATATCCTTATTTTTAATATTGCAAAAATACATTTGAGGGAGACTATAATTTTGTGTACATGATATATAGACTTTTAGTGACTTCCTTGGGAGTGAGAGAGGATGAGATAATAGGGGTTCCACTCAAAGAGAACAGCTTGGTGGCAATGCAGGGCGAAGCCATAATAGTAAGTGCTGCGGTACATCTGTATGGAATTGCTGCCGTAGTGAAGATTTTAAAAGAGGACACATTTTGTGGCCTCATTTAATAGAAACAAAAGGTTCCCAGTTCTGTTCTGCGCAGCTACTATGAGATATGGAAAGTGAATTAAAATCTGGACACTTGCATTTTGGACAGGTGGCATCTTTAATAAGATTACACTAAAAATTAATGGGAACAACATTTCTTTTATACAAATCATTAATTTTGGTTCATTGCACACACAACCTGTTACAGCTCCTTGTATGCCCCCCAGTTAGTCTCTGCAAATGTTATCCATGCTGGGAGTGTGATACGAACAGACTTGCTTTTAATTTTTAGGAACTGTCTGTGCTGCAGCTCATTCAGATTTATAATATAAAAGTATAGATCATCCTGTTAAAATCCTGTAGACGCTCAGCGAAGTACTTAAACATTTCACATAGTTTCAGTGACGAGTGGGACTTCTTAAAACTGCCCGAAATGTATGGTGCTTGGCAAGGATGGGTCTCCATTCATACTGAAAGTGCTGAGAGTTCTTTTTCTTAAACATTCATTGTTTAGGTCACAGTCCTTCTTTTGTCCCTTTTCCTCCCCCGCCCTTTCTCTGCTACTGAATTGGTTGTAAATATTCATGGGTTATCTAGATTTATAGGGTATACTAAATTAAAAATTGTTTTCTGTCATGACTGCATTTATCATATCTCCTGAGCCAGCCCGGTAACTTTTAGGCCAAGCTCACCTGTATTAAAACAAGTGATTTCACTTAGAGATATTTGCACAGATAGTAATTATCTATTTGCATCATTATGGACCTGCAGTTCAGATATGCAATTTTGTTTCTGACCACCTTTAATAATTCAGAATCGTTAATCATTATTACAGGTGGAGAAATGAATGCAAACCAAATAGATTCAGGCATTTATATTCTTAGGATGGAAAATGCCTTGTCTGCATCACTTGTCTATTAAAAAATACAGAACTTTTGAGCATTAAGCACTTGTGCATATCTCCGTTTTCTTCCAGGACACATTTGTGCTAATCCATCAATTGTAGCTAAAATGACTTTTAATAACGACAACTGTGAGGTGTTGAAAAAGCTCCTTTTCTTGAATTAACCTCTCCTTTATTGTTCCTCCTCCCTTTTTTAATTCAAATACTCTAATGTGAAGGAGAATGTTAATTTACCTTCTTTGGAATGTTTAAAAAATGTAAAACAATTTTATGGCAATAAACCTTTTAATGATTCAAGTCTTAGGACAGGAGGAGAAAGACTTTCTATAATCACCTTCATAATCATTAAGTTAGTAAGTTTTTTACTTTTAAAAAAAGTTTTATCTAGCCACACTGAATACGTATAGTTACTTAACTATTTAATGAGCATAAATTCATTCACTTTGATACAGGTTTGTTCCTATGTTTGATCAATGGATTATATTTATATCCCAACTTTTTTCTTTCAAGGAACTCGAAGCAGCTTATATAATCTTCCTCCTCTCAGCTATCCTGTGAGATAGCTTAGGCTGATGGCCAGTGTCTAGCCCAAAGCCACCCATGTGAGTTTTGTGGCCAACTGAGGACTGGAACCCAGATTTGCAGCCTACAGCCATCCCTCTGCCGTATCCCCCTTGCATTTCAAAAGGCGAAGCAGCCAACTCGGGGCAGATTTAGGGATAACATTACAGGGTAGCCAGTTGTTAATCATAATACTACATGTACAGAACCATAAGTAGCAGCAACCATGGTTAGGATACTGCCTCTGTACACAAAATCCTTTGGTCTGCAACTAAGGAGTCACATTCACATAAAATCAACAGCAAATGCTGGGGTTGGGGAGAGCGCAATTCATTAGTTTTATGCATCTTTCAATGATTTATGCAAAATAAATGCACAAACCACGGCACATTTCCTCCTCTAATCCTGGGCTCTTGGCAGTAGGCCCTCTTAATTCAGTTGTGTAGAGTGTGCTACACAATGAGGTGCTGAATGTTCCTTATGAATAACTGCTTTATAAATATGTTGCTATATTTAATTATAAGTGGAAATTCTGCAAGCCAGACCCAAAGCCGAATGGAAATGATGTAAACCTGTGTGTTGTTCTCAACCGATTTTGAATGTGTATGCTGAATTTCCATTAACTTTTCATAAAGTCACCGACTTTTACATTTTCAGCATCTCCAAAACCAAGTTTAAAAAAGAAAGCCAGTTTGTTTAAATTCTAAAGTACAACATGGTCCATGGAGATAATCTTCACACTGGGCCCAAGTTTTAATCAGAACAGAAGTCTTACCTTTTTAGGAGCCTGCACGCCAGAGTCAAATCTTTGTTTTGGATGCCACTTAAAAACATTGTAGTATAACAGATAGACTTGTCAGGACGTGAGCATGCTCTCTTTCAAATGTTAAAATAATTCTCAACAAGGCATTTATATTAAAAAGCTTATTTCCCTCAAGGCAACAAAGAAAGTTAACAATACTGAAAAGTCTTCAACCTCTTCTCCCCAAGAACAAAAGCACATTATCTTTAAAAAGTGGATTAAAAGCAAAGCTAAAACACAACTGCACTACTACTATCAGAACTTTTAATCAAATGCACATTTGGAAAGGCATTTTTCTCCATACTGCCGAAAACCATGCAGGGTCAGCACCGGGCGAATCTCCCCTGTCCACAAGGTAGGTTCAGCTACCAGACTTGCTTCATGAGGTGGGAGCTCTGAAGAAATGGCTCAGCTAAGAGCCAGCGTATGCCTGGAGGAACATGTGGAAGAAGTTGGCCCTGATGCTGCTTGGTTTCCAGGAAATTGGGTTTTAAAAGTGAGCTCCAGCACTGATTCGCACAAGCAGGCTAGCCACCTCTTTGTGCACCTCTGACCTGTGGCTGCCTTTCATGGGTAGCTCCACATAGAGCGCATTCCAATAAACCCGTTCCTTTCCTAGGAACTGCCATGGCATCTGAAGTGGGGGAAAGGCTACTTACTCCTTGGAACTGATTTTGCCTGCACACTTAACAAAAGTGCCAGATTGTATTGTGCTTAATAGGGCATCAGATCCAAAAGATTATTCTGTCTGCATCTATTTTTATTTGCTAGATTGACACCAATGGTAAATGAACCCTGAATGTAACTCCACAGTGTAGAGCATGGGCCCTCAGATTACGGCCCACGGGCTGGATCTGGCCCGCCATGCCAATTTATCCGGCCTGCCTCAGAGGTTTTCAACTCGCCGCGTGTGCACCCAGCAGCGGCTTGCTCATGTGGAGATCGTTTTGGACTCGCTTGGAGAAAACGATCTCCGCGCAAACAAGCCGCTGCCTGGTCCCGCATGCCCTCCCCCGGCTCGCCGCACACGCCTCCCCACCTCTGCTTCACCCTGCATGCATGCCCTGTCCACTCACCGGTCCACGGCCCGTGCCGGCACCGCCTTGGCGGCCCGCACCCACCGCCGGCACCTTTCAATTGGCCCCCTGTTGAAAAAGTTTGAGGACCCCTGGTGTAGTGGGAATATGTTCCTTGAGATCTAATTAAAAGGAAGCTCTTAGGTTGAAAACTCTGAGATGACCTCAGTTTTAAGCAAAAAAATATATATTCACAAACTTCATAACAATGTCTGGTGAAAACCATTTTGAAAAACAAGCAAAGAGCAAATTAAGCAATGAGCCTTTTTTTTTTTTTTCGGAGATTTTTTCTTGACAGCCTGTATGAAGCTGTTACAGATTGTCAGCAGTGTCTCAGTAAGTCAGATGCACCTTATCACAGACATCAATTGAGAAATCCAAAGAAATTGCCTTTGTTTATACAAATAGAGCCTATGAATGTCTAGAGAGACATAATGAAATTCTACCTTGCTAAATAGGAATATGTCCTAGAGCTAAAAGTGATTCTAAGCAGATAAAGGTGCATGTGTGTGTGAAGCAGATGACTTCAGTGCATTCTCTGACTGGGCATCCTCCCATTCTTCCATCCCCTGTTAAGGAACCAATAGTTTTCGCTACTTTTGTGTGCAATCTGGCCAGCAGGGGGCGCTTGTCCACATTCTCTTGAAGGCTTCTCACAAGTTTCTGGTTGGGTAGTATAGTGAAAGAAAAATAGAATGCTGGAATAGAAGAGGTTTTGATCAGATCCAGCAAG